GCAGGTCGATTACATCGGGCCCGTTCCTCACTCCAAGGGGGCAAGATACGCCCTGACCTGTGTCGACACTGCAAGTGGGCTACTGCAGGCCTATCCAGTACCAAGAGCAAACCAGGCATATACCATCAAGGCACTCACTAAACTGATGTCTGCCTATGGGACTCCTCAAGCCATTGAGAGCGACCAAGGGACTCATTTTACTGGTGCAACGATACAGCGCTGGGCAGAAGAAAATAACGAATGGCAATTCCACCCGCTGTATAATCCAACGGAGGCAGGCCTCGTCGAATGTTATAACAGTATTCTTAAGGCTGCCCTGAAGACAGACTCCCAGTCCCTGCAGGGGTGGACAAAAAGACTGTATGAAACCTTGCACGACCTGAATGAAAGACCTTGAGACGGCAGACCCAGTGCCCTGATAATGTTGCAGATGACATGGGCCACCCCGCTTAGGATCCAAATTATGGGCACTGATCATCAGGTAAGACCCCAGATTGGTAACGAAAATAATCTTCTGCTCCCTGCCCCTGAGAATTTAGATCCGGGTACCCATAGAATAACATGGCCTTGGAAGGTGCAGGTAGGACCCAAGTGGTGTGGCCTACTTGCACCTTGGGGGAGATTGTTGGAGGTGGGAGGCTCAGTAGTCCCTCCAGTAATAGGTACATGGCCTACTGATACTGTAGTCAACACTCCGATTTTCATTGCTAAAGGGACCCCCATCATGTCCCTGTGGCATATCAGGACACCTCCTTTGGTGCCTGATATCCTTATGCAGCCACAGACATCCAGCCAGAAGGTGTGGTACAGGCAGCCAGGACGTGCCCCAGTACAAGCGGAAGTGTTGACCCAGGATAGAAATACGGCCTGTATCTTGCCCTGGAGAGCAGACCTTCCCCTCCTGGTACCTCTGAAACATCTGTATTACTCCCCGTGAGTCTGTGAGCCTTCAGGATCACTGGAAGAACAAAATGCCATCAAGCGTTCCAGTGTTACTGTCAGATCAAGTACAACACCCAGTGATGGTCTGCATGGGACTGATGGAACATAGAACAGACCTGCACCTCACGGCCACATGCCTCCAGTCACATCATTGAGCACTGGCCTATAAAGAATATGGACATTCACTGATCATCACTCATCTTGAATTGTACCAACACGAGTCACGATGAAAACTGTATAAGTGTCGCGATATAGTGGATCTCTGTATTATGGAAAGCCTACCCTTTTGTCAACCTGATCATTGGTTCATGCCATGAAGGGGTGGAGTGTATGGGAACTGCTGAGTCAGGGCCTGAACCTCTGATTGATCACCTGAGGTGAGCCATGAGTCAGCCACAGGGTCACAGGTGAAGGCAATTCACCTGTGCTGCCAGAAGGGATGGAGCCTGGCTGCATCCCTTCTAGACCTATTTAAGAGCTGGCTACCAGTGGGGAAGGATCTTGTCTGGAGATCTGCTTTGCTGGAGTTTTGTAAGTGAGCCCAGGATAGGGGTAAGCCTTCTCTTTATTCTCCTTTTGTTATCATAATCTGCTTTGTCAAACTCTCTTGTTTATTTCATAATTATAACATCTTAATATTCATTTATTATGCACTATCCATACAGTATCTTGGAAAAATCAGCATTTGCTCTTTGGGTATAGAGGGCACACAGCATTGAAGCTCCAGGGAGCAGAAAATGGTCTAATGGCCCATCTTACTCTTCTGCCTGCAAATAGTTTTTGTTAGTATAAAAATGCACCCCTAATCCACAGGTTAGTGGGGGCACGTGGTCAGTCACTGCGAGCAGGGGTTGTGTTGGTTCTAACAGGGCTACCATCAAAGGCAAACAGCCATGTCCTTGGGGAACTCCCTGCTGGTAGTTGAAGCCTTCAGGGGATGCTTTCTATTGAATCTTCAGTTGTTTCCAGAGTGCTCTCTGTACAGATTGTAGGTAATTGCAGCAGCTTCACCCCGATACCATTTTGTATCTTTACTTTTGTACTAATGTGTCCCAGGAGCACATGAGAGAGTGCCTGTGGACACTAGGAAGACTGTTGAAGGAGGAAACACAAAATAAACTTAATTTGTGTTGGGTCTTGTCTCATCCCCTGTCCCATCCAGATTTCGTGTCTTGGCTCCTGATCTAGGTCTCTACAGTCTCCTTAACTGAACATTTTCTCTATTTTGCATAAGAGATAGCTCTCTGACTCCATGACTAACTCGACTGAAAGGGAATAATTCAGCTGTTTTCTAGGCTAGGTCCTTTTCTGGGAAGGAATTCCATTGCTAGTGATGCTGAGGATGATGCAGAGGTAACACACAGCAACTCTTTCTTCAGTGGCTTCCCCCTGCAATGTCTCAGTCAACTCCTTCCTGGTGCTAAATAATGCCTCCCTAGAACAGTGCCTTCCAGATTGCTTTTTTCAGCTTATTATTATCAGCTGAAATACATTAGCCTGAATTCAGCTCAGGAGCTAATGCAGTTATCAACACTATCCAGGGTGGACATTTTGGACCACCAGGGAAGGGCTGGCAATGTCATGAACAACAGCGATGGTGCTCGTTGCCTCAAAGCCGGGACCTGTAGATCTGAAGACCTTGCTGAGGAGCAAAAAGTCCCTACCTGTGTTTCTCTCAGTAGTACCCTCCTGTGTTCCTGCCAGCACAACTGATCACCTAGCAGCAGTGGGGCTGGTGCACAAAGCTAACTACATGCTTAAATGCTTCATGAATATAGAGCTCTCTTTGTCTCCTTTCATTAGGACCTTCCTGCTGTCTACTGCTCAAAGTTGTGCTTGCACATCTAACGTGATGTAAAATAATCCAAGCAGAGATCCGTAACACCACAACACCAAAGAACAATCTTTAAAAAGCCCATCTGCACTGACCTGGTAACATAGATTGGATTTTTTGTACATTAACAATTAACCCATATTTCATTCAGTGTAACTTTAATTGCCTCACAGATACACATTAGTCTATTATTCTACCAAATGATGCTGAGAATAACTTACATTTTTAACAATTGTAAAAACACACTTTCTATCCAAAGAGGTGGCAAGCACAAAGTAGTGTTGCTTTCTCTCATTGCATTATTATTGTGGTCTTATCCACACATGCCTGGCTGTCTCTTAGGTATTACTTTTTAATCATCCACCCTCATTACATGTAGTGTTTTCTCCTTTTTCATTTTAAAGCACAAAGACAGAGAGAAGGCAATTAAAATTCAATAACAGTGCAATGCTTAGACACATATAAAGTAGTCATTAGATAGTCTGGAGACTCATTGTCTTTGTGAGAGCTCTTTTTCTCACTCTCTGCAAATCTCCCTGGCACGCTATTAGCTCAAAACAGGTCTTGCATCATGAATATGAATCCAGACATGTTCACGAAGGGCTGCAGCAAAACCTGGGCACCTCCCTCAGATGCTAAGGCCTGGAGCTAGATCTGCAGGTAATCCAGCGCCCGCTTCCTCATCCTCACCCCAGCTTGACTGAGCAGCACTTCTCTCACAAACCAGCACTGGTTACCAAGACTGCCTATAGCAGGATATGCCTCTCAGTGTCAGTAATTGACAAAATCAGGCTGCTGGGGAGTCCAGAGCAGGCTCCATCAGCATTAGGAGCCAAGTTCTTCCCTAAAGAACACTCAAGATGAGAAGACTCCAAAGCTCATTGGCAGGGGTAGGATGGTGGCAATATACCACCAAGTGTCAGACGCCCAAAGGCATCAATAGAATAATGCTCGCCCTCACATGTGAGACAGCCTCTCTCCATACCAAGGATTGTTCCTGAGCTCTGAGTTTCTCTTGCTTTCTGTCCTTGCCCTGTGGATGGAGGAGAGGGGGACAAGACAGCACACACTAGGAAGGCCCCACAACAGCTTTCTGGAGTTCAGTGGAGCTCACAGAGAGCAGATGGCACAAACCCCACTGCATTATTTAAGACTATCCTCACACTGCTGACTCTTGCTAGATGTGAATCAATATAGCAGCCTCTGCCAGAAAAAGGAGGCTGAAGTATGGGGGGAAAAAAAAAAATTGAAATAAAAACCATACTAGAGATGCTGAGGGAACACAGTACAGCCCAAGGGAATACCCATGGGCCATGGCACAATAAGCAGTCCCTGAGGGATCTGCAGGGATAAAGTTATCAAGGACAGAATTTGTCTCTCAGTCTGTGATGACATATGTGGAAGAAGGGAGGAAGGTGGATGTTATATACCCTGATTTTACTAAGGCTTTTATTCTTTGCCAGTATGGTATATTTAGAAGTTCCAATGATAAGGAATGAATGAACGTACATTTAACTGAGTTGAAAACTGCCCATCTCAAGGCATAGCATCCAGTGGCAGCCAATGGAGTTCCTCAGGGCTGACCCAGGGGCCTGCACTGCTCACCGTCTTGTCAGCAACTACAATGGGCACAGATGAACTCCAAGCATCTGGGGATGTTACTAACCTAGAGGAGGTGAGTGAGAAGACATGCAGCAGGGCCTCACTGGCCTTGGTGAAGATAGAGGACTGAGCCACTAGAAGTGTCATGAAGTTCAGGAGAAAAGCACCTGTCCTGCACCTGGGCAGCACTAACCCCATGATATGGCTGAACATCAGACTTTATAAGGAGGACTTATAGCTTGAAGTAGCTTCTAGGGTGAATATAAGCTAGAAATTCATTCCATCATTCTGAGATTATATAAATTAGGAGGAACATGGCCAGCAGACAGTGAATTTAGTATTCATAACAGCTTAGATGAAGCTGCACCTGAATTAGGGTCCAGTTTTGGACCCCTTAACCTCTCTCTCCTGAATAACATAGTATTCAGAGGAGTCTACAGGGTTTTCAGTTTATGACATGAAATAAGCACATGAACAAAACATGAAATCAAGTAAGTTTACATGCTTATTGTTCCTGAATCTGCTGCTTTTTTTTTTCCTTCTTATCAGCAAATTCTTTCACTCTAGTGTACCAAAAGTTCAATCTTAGAGGTAACTGTAAGCATCCTTTGCTGTCTCCTACCTTTTTCTTGCCCGTGTGTTTGCTCAATGCACCACCATCCTGGTTTGTGTGGACTTCAAGAGCCAGCAGTGGTCAGGGTAGGTTCATGCTCTGGCCCTGAGCACACCTCGGAGCAAGTCATCACTGGGCAGCACCCATAGAGCCAGGTCCTGTGGGAAGGGTGATCCTTTCCTGCACTGGAAAGGATTTTCAGACACTGGAAACCTCTGACAATTCATCTTATAGAAAGATGCCTTCTGGTGCCTCCTGAGGGATTATCTGGCAAGCCAGTCACCTCTAAGAACAAACTGCTTGTTTTCTGTAACAAATATAATTGGTCTGCCTTCTAATCCACCTGTGGAAAAGATGTTGACAGCTCTATTTCTCATCAAAGAACTCAAGTGTCCTTTTCCTCTTTATAGTCCAAGCACTCTTTTAGTAAGCTCAAGGCCCCAAACCATTAAATAATTACTTGCCTCACTTCCTTTCTTTGCAATATCTCTGCATCAAGTACTACAATTTGTAGAGTCTTTAGGAGAGTCAATAAAAAAGCAGCAAGGTTGCCTGATACTTGTGAAGCTTTTGGTACAAGTACGTAGGTCAAATGGGACCTTTTATGAAGGTCTATACACAACAATCAAATATCTTTACATTTATTTTCTTACATTTATGTCCAGCTGCTCCTCTATTGCTTTATTACTAAAGATCCACAATATTAACAACAGGATTTTACTGGATGTGAACTTACCTCAGTGTATGGAATGCATTTCATATATAAAAGGTAGGGACTCAGTCTTTTCTTCAACATAAGCCCTTTTCTGCAGCAAGCACAATAAACCTGAAAATTAAAACATGTTTTATATAAGATCTTATCTTCTAAAGAAAAAAATCTTCTTTTATGGTGATCATTGTGTTTGTCTAGATCTCAGTATAATGCGATGATTTTATTTCTCCCCATCCATCAGTAGTTTACCAGGTTAGAAAAGGACTGCACATCTCTGTAGGCTGTGCTGTTTGCAGAACAGTGAGACCTGCTGACAGCCTGATGGAGCACAACCATTCCTTCATGGAAATCACGATGTAGTGACCATTCTGCCCTGCTTTCCTGAAACTTTTTGCATTTCTTAGGAGTGACTAATCTCTAAGGATATCATTCCCTACTTTTTTTTTTTTTCTTTTTTTTTGTTAGTTCAGAGTTCACTTCTCTCCTTTCAAATGTGATTACAGAAAAATGATCAATCCAATAACCGTATACAAGATATCGCCAGCATGGCATCTCAATCAACACAGTTCCATCTAATCCTCATAGTACTGTATCAAGAGCAGTCTCACTAAGCTCACCAGAGACAGTCTGTCAGCACTGCAGCACCAACCTCTCTGCCCCGGGATGTACAAAACTGTTCTTTGTCACGTGTTTGGACTTACGCACCTATTTCTGCAGTGATGGGGATAACACACCAGATGTCCACTGACAGCTACTAACTACACAGTGCAGGAGAGGACCCAAAGGCCCTTAAGTGAAGACAGCCTAAAACCCAGGTATGGAACAGGTTTAACAAGCTTCAGAATGGAGCTGAACTGATGCATATCCATCCCTAAGAGTTCAAGAGATAGAAAAACAGAAGACAATTTCAGTGAGCCGTATAAAGTTATAGCAGGGCTTGACCTGCCTCTGAGAGTTGGCCCCTATCTGGATGATGTAAATGGAACAGTTTGCTGAGAACTTTGGAATGGATGTGACCTGAAAAGGGCAGGGGTTTATTGGGAGACAGTCATTTTGTTGATTTTTTTTCCCATTTCTTGATTACCTTATTTAGGTATTTGGATTCAGAACATTGCTAGTACTTGTGGTAGATTAGCACACTGCAGACGTTAACTACTGTTTAAGTCTTCAGGTTTGAAAACTTTTCAAGAGTATAAAAAAAAAAAAAAAAACCCTACAAAAACAACAACTTCAAACTGACTTCAAGACTCTTTTCAAGTGTGCATATAATTATTACGCATCTGTTACAGTTGGTGTTACAACTGGAAAGATTATCACGGTGAAAACAGGAAAAGAAACAAACAAGGAAGGAATGCTCACCTGTATCTGAAGATCTAGGTTTGCAGGAAAGACTCCACAGATGAGGAATCTCCAGAAAGAGATCCTTTCCCAGTGGCAGTCAGCCCTTAAATGGGGTCTAGGAGAGGTGCAGCCAAGCTCCACCCCTTCCATCACTCAGCTGAATCGCCTTCACCTGTGCTCCATGGCTGACTCAGTGCTTGCCTCAGGTGATCAATCAGTGCTTTAGGAGCACTGAGTGCTGTGAAACAACAGCTCCCATACATACCTTGTATTTTGCACAAACAGATATTAATAATTCTATTACATTGCAACACATTAGCAAGCATGGTATTCAAAACACTCCATGTATTAAGCAGAGAGTTTGAGTGCTTTGTGAGTAATCAAATATGAAAATTAATACAAATAAAACATGCCTAAAAGCAATTGATGGCTACAGAGTTTGGTTTTCAAGCTTTTGTGAAAAAGCAGTCTGAATCACAGCCAGAGGTGGGTGTAGTAGTCAAGGTTGTACCTCTCTGATATTATTCACATCCAAGCACTCCTCTTATTTTGATATTTAAGTGGCCTTAATTGAAGTTATGTATAAAACACATGGAATCAAGGACACAAATATAGCATTGAGAAGAATGGGGACTGAAGTCTGGCTGAGAATCTGTGCTTCAAACTGTCTCTCTGCCTATGAGACATGAAACATCACACAGACAAAAACAGTTTTGCAACCTCAGTGAATATCACTTCACATTCATGTACTCCCAGCAGAAGCTGAAGTCAGACATACCAGGATCTCCTACTTTGGGCTGGCAGTATAAGGCCACATCTTCTTTAGATGGGCATGCACTTTTCTTCTGCAGGTTGTGTTACTGCTGGTATGGATAAGGATGATCAATTGCCGTTCCCTTTGAATCTCTTCATGCACGTCACAAAGATGAATCAGTTCTTCTCCTTACTTTACTGTCAATCCCAGTATCCTTAGTTTTAGTCCAAGTCAAGTAGCAACATTTTTTTGAAGTTCACATTATGAATTTACTTTCATTCATCTAATTCAGCTCTTGAGTACTTGAAGAGTTATGACAAAATACAGAGTACACAGGGCTTTTGATAATGGCTAGATGGCTAAAACTAAACTGTTCCACAATTCACTTGAGATTCTTCTATAGATTGTATTACTTGTTATCTGTTACTGTTCCACAGGTAGGCAAAGGAGCTCAGAATGCACAAGTATATTATCACAACATAATATGCACTTCCAATCAGCAAAAGAGTGATGCATATGAAGAGGGAAACATAAATGATATAAAAAAAAATACCATTATCTGTGTGCAAGCAAAAGAAAATTGATTTATTGTTCTGTGTACAGTGATAAAAAACGTTGAGAATCTGTAATAAGAATTCCTAGCTGTCATAGTCATCTACAGCTCTGGCCTCATCTCTCTGTCTCTGTAAACTTAAACATGTACAACAATGTGGCCAAATGTTTTCCCATCTCTATGCATATATATACTTATTTCTATGTATGTGAGTAAGCGTGGATGAATATACACATGCTTGACATGAGACAACAGTGTGCAATTGCAGCCCAGAAGGCCAACAGTATCCTGGACTGTATCCAAAGAGGGGTGGCCAGCAGGGAGTGGGAGGGGATTGTCCCCTTCTGCTTTGCCCAAGTACTGCATCCAGATCTGGGTACCCCAGCACAAGAAGGACGCAGAGCTGCTGGAGTGTATGAAGGGCAATGAAGAGGATCAGAGGGTTGGAGCATCTCACTTATGAAGAAAGGCTGAGGGAGCTGGACTTGTTCAGTCTGGAGAAGAGAAGGCTGAGAGTATAACTCACTATGGCCTTCCAGTACTAAAAAAGACCTTATAAACAGGAGAGAGTCCAACTCTGGATGGTCAGATAGTAACAGGAGAAGGGGGAATGGTTTTAAACTGAAAGAGGGGAGACTTAAATTAGATATTAGAAATAAAACTCACTCAGAGGGCAGTGAGGCCCGGCACAGGCTGCCCATAGAAGCTGTGGATGCACCATGCCTGGAAACATTCAAGAGCGGGTACGACAGGGCTCTGGGCAGCTTGGTCTGGTGGGAAGTGACTGTGCTATGCCCATGGCATGGGTTGGAGCTTGATGACCTTTAACGTCCTTTCCAACCCAAGCCATTCCCTGATTATGTGATCTATATTTTCACAGTTCCTTTGAAGGACACACAAACTAAATGCAGTTCTTTAGACAACGAATGGCAACAAGACAATTTGTGGCAGAATAGCCATACACATTTGTATTCTGCCATAGTACAAAATAGACGTGCTTAAATGCCACAAGGGCCAGTCAGTGCAGGAATAAACAACAGCTGGAGTCTAATCCTGCACCATTGCCTTCAGTGGCAGCTTTGCCACTGACTAGTGTCCAAGAGAACTCTTCCGTTATACCCTAAGCAGTGAAAGGAACACCAATAATTATAAACTCTCCCCTCTATAAGTTTTCCTTCCTACCCTTGTAATCTATACTGTACTTACCCACTGCTCACTGCACAGACTGGACTCTCCAAGAGCCTGCCTACTGTTTATGTTCTGAGTTACCCCCAGCAGTTTCCTCCAGACTCCTCCAGGATTTGCTGGCTGGCCTGAAGCAGGCAGCTCGGCACTGTCTTGTTCATTATTTCCCAAACTGTTACCTGCACATCTTACAGCTGAAGATACGATTCTGAATCTTGCAGCTGCTCCTCAAAGTAGAGGAGCTGATCCACCTCAAAGCAATCACTTGCTCTAGGAACCAGTTTCTCCAGGTGTCTCGTTATCTCTTCCTCACTGGCCTTCTGCTGTCTCGCCTGCTTCAGATAGGTGTATACCTTCTCAAATACCTCTCCTCCCAGCTTCTGGATGGCAGATCTAAAGATAAATAAAGGTCAAGTCAAACTTAACTTATATATTAATACAAGCAATTGCAAGTGCTGATTTTTCTTTTTTAATGTTCTATCTACCTTTGATTAAAATGTGATAATAACACACCTTATTTGTCTGACAGCAAAAGGAACTAAAATTTTCCATGGAATTACTCTATGGTTGTGTTAAACAAAAGGCCCAGGAGTAAACACCTCGCCATAATAAAGTCATAGGAGACCCAGCCATTGCCACTGCTGCAGACCACCATTCCTTCCCACACTAAATCTGACACACTGTTTTATCTTCAGCAAGTCCAATATGCACACATAGATTATTGCCCCCGTGTTTCATCAAAACCAAGAGAAGCATCCCCAGTCAGGCACAAATCAGTCGCATTATATGAGAATAAGCATATAACAGAATGTGTTGCCTCATTTTAGCCGCTATCAAATAACAAGGAAACTGTTGTACCAGATCAGCATAAACCAACTGGCAATTCTGTCTTTTTCTACAGCACTACCCTTTATCAGCTGACAGATCTGTAATTCAGTGACAAAGAATACAGTCACAGAAACTTAATGTTGATTTATAAAGAGACAACTGAAAACTGCAATACAGTGAGCAAAATTTATTTTTCCAAAGACAAACATCTTTAAACTCATGTGCCACAAGTCACAAGTAGTAGCATTCCCAACAGTGGAGGGTTCATAATATTTTGATGAAAAAGTTAATTTTTCTTCAGCATATCAGAAACTCTATCTGCCTGCTCCTTGTGAGTCTGCTGCAGGGATTGCATTCACTTCACTGTTTAAACAAACCTGCTTAAGCTCACACACCCCACGTTTCTTGTTGTACCCCAATGGTGCCCATCCATACAGCACCCATGGCAGGACTGGGACCTGAATGGCATCAAACAAATGGCAGCAAACAGAGTTTGCTGGCACTTGTGAAGACATCAGCAATTTGTATTGAAAAACATCTTATTTTGGTTAGGTGAAGTTGTGGCTAGGAGCCTTTCCTCCCAACAACATTTTGCTAGGATTTCAAGAGTATTCAGGTTGGGGCAATCATTTCTTTTTCAGGAAATCCCCACAGGTTCTCAAGTCCACGTTGGACTTGACAGGGTTGGGCTGGACTCCCTGCAGGTCCAGGTGTGATTCAGTCCAGCTTCCCATAACTGGAAAACAGATTTTTTCTCCCAGCAGTGATGTTCAGTGGAAAATGAAAACTGCTGGAAGTGATTGAATGCTGGACTCCGGCAACCAAGGGATTAGATCAGCACAGCAAGCTAAATAGGGATTTGTTAGGCAAGTAATGGAAATTCCCTCAAATCTCAGCAGAATTCCCTGAAATCTCTGCAGAAATACTCCATTTCTTCCCAGTGGTTAAAAATCAATCAATGAGAAGCTATTTAGAAATCATGACTGCTTCATCAATGCCTCTAGAGATCCCTTCTTCTTTCTCTTGTCAACAAATTGTTTTTTTTTTTGTCATTCCTTTCTATTTAAAGATGAAAAATTAAGCAAACACACATCTCAGGAGTACTGTCTCTGCTAATAAATGTTACCTGCAGACTGGAATCTTTTCAGTGTAGCTTGAGCATGCAAATTAGCTCCTCTGTATAAAACCTGATACAATAGAATTAGGGGAAAAGCGCTCATAGTTTGAAAATTAAGGGGTAGGTGACAAAAATTATAACCTCCTTTTACAAAAGCTCCTTTACATCGAGCTCTATTTGGGCTTGAAAGCTGCATTAATATGAGTTTGCTACCACATAGAACATTTTCTGCAATGGGGACAGAAATTTGGGATCTCAGACAGTACATGTCAAATACAGTACCGAATCTTTTATTATACCAACAGAGTGGGGGAAGTGATTTCCCAGAAAGCAAAGTTAGCTCATGACACCCCTGATCTGCACCAGTGGGTATTTTTCCATCCAAGTGGAGGGACCTTCCAATGATGGATTTCACACCACATTTCCATTTATAGGTACTATTTCACATGAAGTGTGGCACACCTGCATTTACAGCTTCGAAATAGCTAAAAGCCTAACTTCTGAATGTGCTGTGAGAACCGGCACAGAGCTCCCATTTACACTCTCATGTATTCTGATTATCAGCCATTTACTCTTGTAGCTCACTCACCTGCAAACTCACTATTTTGCCCCACAAATGAGCCATCATCCTTTTCTTAACCAAGATCCACAAGCACAGCAGGACACCTGA